TGAATCTACCGCCATCACATTGCGGGATAAGTTATCAGACGACCAACACCAATGGAACTCATTGTGCATGTAGATGAGCATCAAAACCAAGCCCATAAACTTATTACGAATTACTAGTCATCCGAACTCGCCACACTATGGAGAACCCAGACTTATTCGAGCTACACTAGAATCCTCCACCGAGGTAGAAAACGTTTTGCTCTCCGCAAGCGCGCTAAAACACGGATCCGGTGGGATATGTATCTATCCTGATGTCCCTTGGAGTGTGCGACAATCAAAAAGAAACACTGAAGAGCAGCACAGCAAGCAAGACCGCCTAAACACAATCTTCATGCATGACGTGCCAGAACATCCTTCTAACGATGTTCAAGAGACCGGAAAGCACGATTTAGAACAGTGGCGGTTCATTCGTGAAGCACTTTCTTTGGATAGTATTGTGGCACTATCGCTCACCAGGATACTTCTCTCACCAAATTATAGAGGATGAGGCCCTGGAATCCTAAAACTTGTAGTTCAGTCAGAGCAACAAGCGAAGGATGTTTTGGATCGATGGCGAAGAAACTGGAAGCATATTCCTTCTGAAATTCGGTTAAAGGTTGCAAACGCTTTGCACAGCTCAAATATGAAAGCAACTGAAGCGGCAAGCATACCGACGAATGTACAGAAGTGTAACTTGACTGCTGCGTTAATTCACTCTGACGTAGGTCTAAACGAAGGCTGGGACGCACCTTGGCCAAATCAAGTTGCAAACGAGGTATCATTGACCCATCAAAAAGACGATTAACTGCCGACCTCCCATCAGTCAGCATTGTCCCACACATGACAGCTTCACCCCTCTGTGGGCTCCTAGATACCGAGAAACTGGCCTGCTTGTATACGAATGCTCCGGGTCTTTCTAATAAACTTGCCGAACCGCAAGATCACCAAGCTTCCGGGTATTATGATGTCATTGGTATCACCGAGACGTGGTTGCACACGGGAATGACGGACGCTGAAGTTTCGCTACCGGGCATGTCACTGATCCGGAACGACAGGTTCACAAAAGGAGGAGGGGTAATCCTGTACTACCGAAACGACTTACAGTGCGAAGCCGTGGAGGATCCAGACTCGCAATTCCCCGACTCTCTTTGGTGTTGGTTGCAGTTAAAAGGCAGGGAAGCTTGCCTTATTGTCTTGGTGTACCGCGCCCCTAACTCAACACCCGAAACCGACTACCACCTAGCGGCTGCTTTAAGGTGCAGTTTACAGCAAAAGTACACTCACATTCTTATCATGGGTGATTTCAACGTAAATTGTTTAGAAACTCCCGCCAAGATCGGAGAACAATTCAAAGCCGACCTACAAGATCTAATAACTACTGTTCCACTTTAAAATCACATCACTTTACCCAATCGGTTCAGAACAGGTAACAGACCATCTGTGCTGGATCTTGTGCTTACCAACGAGGAGCATATGATTGATGTGTTGGTTTTAGACTGCCCGTTGGGTCGCAGTGATCACGCCGTGATCAGTTTCAACTTCGTCTGCTACGCAGAATATCTGAATGAGAACGATGAGACTGCGCGAACCATCACAAGCTACGATCGATTAGCCCAGCTTGTCATCGCCACAATTTGGTCGTTCCTTGCCGTAGAACTCCCGGAAGTCGCCTGCCTCGATTTCGTCAAAAAATTCAGTCAGCTGATTGCAGAGGCCTCAGAGTTAGAAACTTGCAGTAAGTACAAATCAATTCTTTCGTTAGGAGCAGAACTCGAAAATTGATGCCAGTACGCAACGCAGCATGGCGAGTGTACAGAGAAGCTCCAGTACCAGAAACTTGGGAGAACTATGTAGCCCAACGTAACCACTGCACACAACTGCTAAGAGAAGACAAAGCCGCCTATCAGCAGAACATGGCAGAAACCTTCAGTGCTAACTACAAAGTGCTTTACAAGCAAGTTAATAGCCTGCGAAAGGTCAGGCAATGATTTCCTCCACCCAGGACGACTGATGGCCCAGCAAGAACAGCTGAGGAAGCAGCAAACGCGCTGCAGATGCAAGACGCTCCCAAGTTTCAAAGGGTCTTGCCACCAAGCGATCTACCAAACTTTGTCTTCTCCTTGCCAGGACTAATCCACATCACTTTTACCGCGGAGGCTGTATTGCAAAAGCTGACGTCTCTACGCAAACACAGCTCACCGGGTGTCGACACCATTCGTCCAGAGGCATTGGGAGCAGCAGCAAGCCAACTAGCAGGACCTTTAGCTCAGTTCTTCCAGCGCTGCTTAGACCAGAACCAAGTTCCCGCCATGTGGAAGCTTGGAATAATAACCCCGATTCACAAAGGTGGAAGCAGAACTGATCCCTTCAACTACCGCCCAGTAACCCTTCTTCCTATGCTCTCCAAGGTCATGGAATCCATAGTTGCCGATGCACTGGTGTGCTATCTGGAAAACTGCAACATCATCACTCCTGAGCAACACGGTTTCCGGCGACAGCGGTCATGTACATCGAATTTACTAATTACACGCAGTAGTTGGACCGAGGCAGCTGGCGCTGGAGAAGGTACTAATGTGATCTACCTGGATTTATCCAAGGCTTTCCATCGTCTAGACCATTGGATACTACTATCCAAACTGCAGCGTTACGGGATTGGTGACCCTCTTTTAAGCTGGATCGCCAACTTTCTACTTCAACGGCAATTAGTGGTCAGAGTTCGCAGCTCTTTATCAGACCCCATACAAGTTGAGGGTGGTGTGCCGCAAGGTTCAGTTCTAGGTCCATATTTGTTTTTGGTGTCTATTAATGACCTTGCACAGGGAATTGCTTCAAACTTCCTAATGTTTGCCGACGAAACCAAGATCTGGTGCAGGATCCAGGCGAATGCCGACCAAGATGTGCTTTAGAGTGACCTAGATACGGTGGATCAATGGTCCACCCAAAACCTATTGCATTTCAACGTCGGTAAATGCAAGGTGCTTTCCATCCGACATCAGAGCAGCTACTCAAACCGGCTCGGAACGAATATACTACAACAATCAACTCTCGAATGTTACTTAGGTGTCTTGGTTTAAGATGACTTGAGTTGCTCCAGGCAATCCGAAACGACCTCGAAGGCTGGGAACCAGCACGTCGGGCTGTTGCGACGGGCTTTTGGACACATAAACAGCTCCATGTTTCGACAAATTCTTAGTGCGTATGTTCGCCTCCATGTCGAATACGCCATTCAAGCCTGGCATCCATGGCTGAAACACGACCTTAATGCACTGGAGAAGCCACAACGCCGGGCACCTAAGAACGTAGTTGGAATGCGCAACCTTTCCTACCAGGAGAGGCTGCAACGATTGGGGTGTTCAGTGGAAGCTATCACAGACTGCGAGGCGACCTGCTTATGGCATACTTGATTCTGCGAGACCCACATCATGTGTGCCGCCATTTACTGCAACTCAGCAGCAATACAAACCTGAGGGGCCACTCGTTAAAATTCGCAGAACAATACAGTCGTCTGCAGTGCCGCAGACATTTCTTTTCCGTTGGTGTCTGTCACCCGTGAAATGCTCTCCCATAATCGGTCGTCTCTGCAGAGACACTTACAGTAGTTAAAAGACGGTTGGACGATGCACTCATCTACTTCCAATTTGTTGGTTAACAATGTGTCTCCATCCTACACCCGGAGTTTACCATGGAATTCTTTGTTGTTGACTGTGGCTGCTATGAATCTAAGAGGAACGCAGGACTAAAACGAAGCAAATGATAAGTTCTTATTGTCATATTTAAAGTATTAACTATTTTACTATCCTTATTATCATTATTGTTATGTTTATATCCCCTGCAACTGTCCAACGGGACTTGTAAAGCAACGTTTCTTAACCCGTATAAATTCATTGTTCAACCTGAAGAGAATATTCCACCATTATGTCCTCCGTTCAACTTACCTTCGTACATTTGCAACCTGACGCATCTAATCTGTAGATGCAAAAAGCTTGTTAGGCCCGCCGATCGGTACTCCCGCAGTATAGCTCACATCTAGCGGGAACGCAGCTTCGGCAATGAGCGCGTTCTGCATCTTGTACATGACACAGCATGATCGTATGAACCGTTCAACATCATTCTTTCACGCTTCAAGCTCCGATAGCTGGGCCACGATGTGTACTGCTTGCGCGACAGAGTTGTGGAGAGAAGAAGAGAGAGGGAGTCCGACCGACGATAAGGTCAAAACGAATGAACTCGCTTACTTCGAAGTTAGCTTTGAGTAATTCTCTCGACTTCACTTTTGGATTCTTAAAGGTGAGGTACAAGTTTGGTTGACGTGCTGAATGACCGACCTCAGTGGCGGCTGTAGTATGAATCCGATTCATCCTGCCTCATCCTGCTTAGCCTCCCCATAAGACCCCGATTTCGTCGCAAATACAGAATAGTAAACGAAGCATAAAATGTGATCTGTTTTGTTATTTTTTACTTTTTTATTGACATCGGATTTAAATGTATTGCGGCGCAATATCTGGGGTGTTTCTCACCCTTGGCTAAAGTGCAGATTGCTGAAGATTGCTGAAGGCCAAAGCAGGCGTTAATTCCAACTGACAGACACACCCAATATTCTTGTTCCTCAATATGGAAGTAATAAGAGATTTTAAATAGATGCACCTTATCTGCACCAAGCAGCTACATTACATAGTCAACATTGATTTGCTCATCGAAGCACACAAGACGTAACTGCCTACATAAGTAATAGTAAAAATAACGATGCTCACAAAACTGGCGAGGAAATTAGGCAAACATTATGGACCCGGTGAAAAAGTTAGCATCGTCCAATGTATATATTAACAGGTATAGGCGTGGATATGAGCGCTAATGGCTCCTTGCTGCTCTCATTCTTGCTGAGGTACTGAACCACTGATATGACTTTAGGCGAAGTGAAAAATGCCAAATAGTCGGGAAACTGAAGAACACAAAGGTTTGTACCGGACAAATCACATTCCCCAAAGAACAGAAGGTGATAGAAAAGGTAGAAAAAGCAACCTTTAAGGAGTGTGCATGGAAGACAATGATTCAGAGGATAAATATTGCTGCAGGAAGGGCAATCGTAATGAGATTTCTTGGGCTGCTATGAGCAATTCACAACTACGGGGTTGTGAATGCATGGTACGAAATGGAGCCACATTCCCAAAGACCTGCAAACACACAAGAAAGCCACGTTTGTGAACTTCAGAGCGAGTTTTCCGAGGCATGATGTTGGAGGAGATTGATAACACCAGGATTGGGCATGTGGAATCAGAAGAGGATATGTCTAAAATGTAAAGAATAAAAGATTTTTAAAGTTAATCAAGTGAAAATCAGATCCTTACAGTATACCTAAAGGTCTAACCACAATGAACTTCGGATTAACAACACAGCTGTTCGAAATTCATTGAGAACATCAGATTCAGATTGTATTTAAGCGCTACTTATAGCATACAATGGGGGACGGGGTCAATAGGTACCTTTAAAATGCTCAGCTTTGGGAGTATGTGTAAACACGGAAGTCTGTAGAATCTCTACCACGTAAAGAACCAAAGCTGAGCAAGGTAGGTAAATTCAGTTGGAGGGTGAGTATTGTCAGTGAAGTGACCTCATTTGTCGTGACTACTGCCATCAAGCTAACGAAAATAACAACCATGAAAGCGGAACAAGTAAGAAGTTATACGAACGAACAAGATTACTTGTCAATGAAACGAACGAGAGCGTAGAAAGTAGCTGACAAAAGCTTGAAGAAAGAATGCATGTAGCGGCAATATGGATTCCGCAGGCGGTCCAGATTCAATTTGGGAAATGACACTGTGGCGGCCTATTCAAGTAAACCTTCGAGCGTGTAGCATACACTGACCTGATTAGACGTTACGGTTGTATTAATAACGTTACTTTGTTTCACTAGGTTGCCCAGATGGAGTTTCCGACCGATAAACAACGGTATCCAAAGGCAACATAGGTAGTTTCCATCGGTTTCTAAGTGACTTAGTGAGCACAAACGATTAAGATACAACAAAGAGTTCAACGCGGCTCTGTAAGGCCTGATGCGAACCATCGATATGATCTACCCAATGCATTTATCAAATAACAACCATGATCCGCGCTTGGGCGCACAAACCGAACATTCACGTAAGATCGTGAATACCAGTCTGAAGACGTCCTACATGTGTCAAGCCTCATAGGAAGAAGAGGTCGGACCCAAAACTAACATACTATCAGCAATTTTTAATAATGATGATATCATAAGAGCTGAAAGACTAAGTAAATAGATAGCAAAAGCTGCAAAAGGTTATCGTGTGGTAATTCATTTTCAAGCAACTATAGGTTGGCTGGAGGCAGTTACAAAACCCGAAACATACAAAACCGACTGAAACTCCAGAGATTATCTCTAAAATATAAGCTCGGAACGCTGATATCCTATAGCAGTTGCATGGTTAGTCCTTTAGCAGTGCAGAAAGTTGACATAACTACACATGTTAGAAAAAACGGGTATGTCGAATTTGGTAGGGAAATCTCCGAAAATGCGTGGCTAGCTGAAGAGAATATGGATGGAGTGCAAAATGTCCGGAATCGTGCAGAAATCTGCTGCTTGTTAGACCAATCACACAATGACGAAGCTGCTGAGATCTGAGTACACTTTCTGATCCCCATACATGGCGTCGTCTTTCGATGAATGGAATTAGGCCTAGTTTGCAAGCAAGCGAAGGATCAAACAACGGATTCAAAATAAGTGAAATTTACTAAACAGCCTAGTTTCAGCATCAGACTTATTAGGTCAGCGAACGGATGCTCGAAGGAACTACAGTTGAGTGGCAAGCGATTTGGACTAGTTGGAACGTAAAAAACTTTTAATAATGCCACCAGAGCTTAAAGTTTGGTGACCTATTGAGGCATCCACGTATCATCGTGTCGTTGCACTGATGTTACCTGAAGGTTGGACGCAATGGGTCACCTGAAAACCATAATCTAGGAACCAAGAAGATGCTCGGTAAAAACTACATTATGACATGCAAACTATGGCAGACAGATCATACAAGGTTGACGATAAAACATCCTAATGTTTTCAGTTCAAATTGATATTAGGTTCTTGAAGCCTTAAGTAAAATACTTATCTCAGGAGGCATGCTGCATACCACTTTAGTGCCATTCGGAGTGTTTTGAAGGCGTACAGGATCAAAGTATTTATTGTGAGTTGGATTACATTTTGTCGAAGCAGCATGTTGTGTCCCAGGCAGGACTTTTGGTTTGCTTCAGTGTTCAAAATGTGAGGCATTTTAAATTTGAGCATGTTGCAATAGTAACTTCATACAAATGATCCAACTTGGTACCATAGTAATCTTTAACTTTCGCTAGAAGGTCATACCATACAGTAAAAAGAATAGGAAGTCATCTATTGTTATCCGAGAAAAGGATTTCCTTTTTAATCGCACTACAACAACGGAGTGTAGTTCGCACGGACTTCACAACTCACGAAACCAAAGCAACAAGACTTACTGATAACTAAGAGGTAACAGTAAGGGAAAGACAGAATTTGGTACTAAACTCAGGCATCGCGAAAAAGAAAGACCAACAACGATAGCAATAATCACAGGTGTGATATTGAAGGCTTTTGTTGAAATGACAGAGTGAAGAGTGCCGCAAGTGCTTCCGAGCTATTCATGTGATCGATTCTGGTGATTATTTATAAAATAACCCAGACTATGAGTGTGAATGAAAACATCGGGAGGGTTTCATTCTGCCCTCGGTGAGGCGAACTTCGCAGAATTATGCATCTGAGCGCTATAGCGTTAAACCTACTTGAGAAGATGGAATGCTAAACTTGCATTCAACTGGATAAGGAGCTCACGCAAAAGAGAGGATCCATTGAACGGATGGTACAGGGATTTTTATCAAATAACAGCTCCTGAACTCCAGTGAGCTGAGGCTTAATTCATCATCTGTTTGATGCAATATGTCCTAGGAACCAATAATAAAATGTGAATATTCTCTTACTTTTTTCTAATAAAAATGACCATATGGGTGTTCCTCATAATTCAGCGTGTTAAAACCCTCCTAATAGCCGTATCCGTGGGGGAATGAGAACGAAAAGCCAACAGGTATCCCCGACCAGTGTAGTGAATTGATCGGTAAATCAATTAAAGGTGTTACTAAAACCGTCAACACTAGTGGTTTTGGCAACCAGTGTCAGTGAGAGTTCAGCAACTATGTGAACCAATGTGGTGTCAGCCTAGCCACCCATTGGGAGATCTCAACTTTAAGCTATTTTCTGCCTGCGTCCTTTTTGAGGACACTTCTTGCAGTATGATGTTAGGCGCCGAATTATGCTACTATGTATACGTTCTTTGTTTGTGTTACTAATCCTCATTATTTTGAAAATTTTTGGCTAGTCCAAGTTTGCTTTTTGAAAAGAAAAATTTTCTTTTCTTGTATGATCCCCAAAGGCGGATAAAAATAGAAAAGCCAAAAACGTGTTATTTTTAAGTTTATATTACCTAAAAAGTAACAAACTTTGTTAACTTTTTGTTAAGTTATATGTATAGAGCACCTTGTCAAATATAAACATCTGAAATGTGTGTGATGGTTATGACATCAATAAGCTGCAACCATTTGTTATTTTCAAGACACGCCGGCAACATATGAAACCGTGACACGTGGCTTAGGATAACTAAATCATTAGCAACATGCTTGAAGGTAGCCCCATAGTTTATAAATATTTCAATATATTATGCGTACACTATTGTGGTGGGAACCATGTATATTGTAATAATGTGAGTTTTCCTTTTTAACATGATTGATTTTAATAAAATTGCATGTTGATTATATTTCATTTACTTAAACTTGTTGCTTCAATAGGAATCATAAAGGATTTTCTGTACGAGATCTTATCACTATGACAGAACAATCGGACTGTGTTCTGGAAAGCAACATTTAGATTGCGGCCCCGGATGATGGACAAAACTATGATGAGGATGATATCAATGAAGTGATTCACGATGTTGGTTCTCTAGATGATCTGTCAGCGAGGTAGTTCCTGACGCTGGAGCTAACTTAGCAATGCCTTATGGATCAGTAATTACAGTCAAAATGGATAGCGAACCATCTGAAGAAGAACCAGAGAGCAGCAATAATTGTTTACAAGCAGAATTTGGCGTCACTATGCTTGTTTCTTTAACAATATTCAAAAGGATGCCAAATCTAGACTGTGGGAGAGGGAAGACTTATGTCCAGGATCTCAGACTCATAGACAATAGTCTAAATGTGCGCCTGATTTCCTAAAGGAGGGTCTTACACTGCAAAATCATGTGCACGCTTCTTTGACAACTTTGCTACTGAGATCATGATAAAGCAGAAACTTGAGCTTGCCCATTCAAAAAGTGACCACTAGTACAGTATTTCTACAGCTGAAATGTGTGGTTTTCTATCTATTTTTTTTCTCACTGTCTCTAAAGCATTAGCATACGAGTCAATAAAATGGATTCAAAACAGGATGTCCACAATTCAGCCATCAGTCAAATAATGAATCGGAATAGGTTTGACAAAATCGTGAAATATCTTCATCTGAAAAACTATGACAATCTCCTAGCGGATGACGAGTGTACAAAAGGTTGACTACCTTGTAAACTTCTCAATGAAAGGTTTATGAACTTCCTCTCCATGGAAAAAATCTGTGCGTGCATAAAGGCGATACCATATTACAGCCCTCTTAGGCTGAAGCAATACGTAAGAGGAAAGTTTACTAAATTATGGTAGAAACAGTGTTATGGTGCTTCTCTGGCTTTCAAATAAGGGGCTCAAGCCAACTAGTATATAACATTAGGTGTGGGATATGGTATTGTTATGGGCCTAGTGAACAAGCTCCTGAAAGGGTGCCGATCTATAGCCTAAAGATAACAAACTTGTCTTGTAATCTGGCCGCGCGGTTTCGAGCCTGCTTAAAAACAGGACGACCCTCGTAGTATCCTTAGCCCAAGTGCTACCGGTGGTTGTTGCGCGGCAGCGAAGCGTCGGTATACGTACCGGCAAGGTCTACACTCGTAGTTGTAAAGCAACCGCTTCTCTCTTCAGTGGCCTGTTTTGCAACTGTGAAGATGTTCGTTCAAATGTGCAAACTGAACCTCGATTGCTATTCTACCACATGAATTTTGTGAAATAGAGATACTGAACAGTAGGGACAAATTCCACCTTGAAGGCAACCGACGGGAGAACGGATATCCCGAGCTATTTCTAACACGACACACACAAGCAAAACTCTAGGAGAAACCAACTGACTTTCCTAAGAAA